GGCAAGCAGGACACAGGTGTGAGTAAGACTCCCTGCACATATTCTCTAAAACTGGTATATTCTCCACAATTAAAGAAATGCCATAAGGCTCCAATGAAGAGACATCTTTAGATGCAGAGTGAAATAAACAAATGAGCCTTCAGAAGGCGGACCTCGGACAGGTAGAAAAGTGGTAGACGGCTGTTTGTGTGCATGTGCACTTGCATCCCCACCAGTGGCGTAAACCCTGGCTCTCTTCCTCCACCCTCCTCCAGCAGTGCATGCACCTCCATCCCCCAGAATTCAGAATTTGGCTCTATCCCAGGACACACCTCACCATTGTAAGGGTTGAATGAAACCAGAGCCTCCTGACTCGTACCTCAGTCTTCTATCACCCCTGTGACCTTAAATGCCCCTCGAAGAATTCCATAAGGGGGCCAGAGTCCAAATTAAAGAACCAAATTGAACTTAGGCGTAAAAGGGAGAGTGTCCTTTAAATGCCAATAGGCATTGCCTTTGGCATAACAAAGGAGTTAAAACATAATTAAGATTTGAAGGCTGATTACAGGAATGTGTATGATTATTTTTTATTATTTTTCCTCTTTCTATCTTTGCGATAGGATGTGATCAACCTCTGCCATGCTCCGTTGCTTAGTAGCAGACAGTCAGAGTTTTAATTATATACTAAAATAAGCTAAAGAACAGAAAACTGCTTTATGTCTAATACGTATATATCAAGAAAGGCATGTGACAGCATCTAAATTGCTTTGGTGCCTGATAAAGAGTGCCGCTGGTAGGGCTGTCATCAAAAGATCACGAACAGAGTAGGAAAGTATTATTAATAAAGCTGCTACTCTATTTATATGTTCTCCATTGTTTGTGATTCCTCGTTAGAAGCTGGAAATGAATTTTTATCTACCACTAATTTCATCGAGGTTTTTTTTTTTTTTTTCTTTTTTTTTTTTTAGTCTGGGGGAAAAAGAAAACAAACTTTTGTCAATTCCACTGCTAACCTAGTCCTCCAAATCTGCAGTTCTCAAAATCTTCTATCTCACCATTTTAAACAGTAAACAATGAGTTCATTCGTTCATTTTTAAAAAATACTGCCAGAGGGCATGTGAGCTCGACAGAGAGAGAGCGAGAGGGCGAGGGAGAGGAAGAAAGCACCTCCAGTGGGTCATGGTCACATCACCCTTCGTTCCCTTCCATTTCTCCTCATATATGCACATATACTTGATATGTTTTTTCAAGCTGCCAGGTCCAGGATTTGAACCATGATCAGCCTTATGCCATTTGCTGGTCCCCTTAACATATACATTCTACAGGGACCAGCAGTTAGCGTAACGGCTATGTCGCTGGACTCCCATGTAGTCGCGGACCGGTGGCTTAAACTCACGCCGGGCACATGTGTGTGTGTGCCTAAGATCCCAAGAGGAGAATGGAGGAGAAGGGATTGTGGCATGGCCATCTCCCCTGGGGGGTGATCTCTCACTTTCTGTCTCTCTGTCTCTCTCTGTCTGTCTGGTGAGTGCACGTGCCCTAGAGCAAAAACCTCTCCCCCCCCACACACACACACAAAAACATATAAATTCTACCTCATGGGTCAGGAGAGCTGCTCAAGCTCCAGCCATTACATTTGCACGAATGAAAGTGAAGAAAGAATTATGCCTCCTTTCCTTATAGAAAATTTAGTGTTTTTCTCAATAGCCAGAATGCAGTCCATTGCTTTAGAGAAGCTACAATAATCTTTATTCTAGGGTGATTTAATATAATTTAATATAGGGTGATGTGAAATAGAATAATTGGTGCAGAGTGTCTATTCTTACTTATTTATTTTTTTTGGAGAGGTTTTTGCTATAGGGCACGTGCGCTCGCCAGACAGACAGAGAGACAGAAAGCGAGAAATCACCCCCCAGGGGGGGTGGCCACGCCACAATTCCTTCTCCTCCATTCTCTTCTTGGGATCTTGGGCATGCATGCACACGCGCCCGGCGTGAGTTTAAGCCACCAGGTCCGGGACTAGAACCGCAGTCGACTACGTGGGAGTCCAGCGACATAGCCATTATGCTAACTGCTGGCCCCCAGAGTGGCTATTCTAAATAAGGTATTCAAAAGCCTTCTTAAGGAGCTGAGGCCTTAAGGATACAAGTGTGCTTGCCATATGAACTGGGGAAAGAAGGCTTTAGGCAGAAAGAATGTCTTATTTTAAAAGAGACTGACTTCTCACAGAATTACTTTGGCCTCACTTTATAATAATATGCAATTATTAAGTTTTCCTGAGCTGAGAAGATAATCTATTTTCTTCCTAAACTGCAAAGCATGTCAAATTAAGGGAATTTTTGAGTTGGGGGGGGGGGAGAAAGACCCTATTGCCATCCTATAACTTTGAACTTGGTTAAAAGATGGTTGAGACCAAATTTAGTCATAAAATGCTATTTGATATTCTCGTTAGGGGTGAGTCTAAGGGGATTGGTTGCAGGGAGAGATAGCCCAAGCCAAATAAAGTGTGCATGTATTATATCTTTGGAACCACCTTGAGTGATGTAAATAAGATGCCAGATTCAGACAAAACTACTTACAAATTAGGGTATTAAATCACAACTCACATTACAATAACATGATTCGGTTTGGCGTTCACTGGAATAGAGCTGATCGGATGGAACTAATGTGATGTTTTGTGTGAATGTCACATTAGTTATGCATTTGTTACGTGATTTTCGTGGGTGCCAGAATGTAAGTCATTGGAATAAACAGAAGAGCCTAGTGGCATTAAAACCTAAAGCTGTAAAGGGGAATTTGCTTTCATTAAACCCTCCCATACCATAATTCAGCTGACATTATATCCAGTGCATTTTCTTAATGAGTATCTTATACTAACATCAGACCAAAGATATCAGTAATACTATTTATTTCTGCAAATTTCATGTGAATAAAGATCACTATAAAATAAAATAAGTGGTTTTTGTCTAAACATATCATATGATGGCAACAGGTCCTATCAAAGAATACAGGGACACTGAGTATGGGTACATGAGCATGTGTTTCAAAAATTTTTTTGGTTTGTTGACCAAACCAGAAAAATAATTTTTATGTGTTTGGAGAAAGTAGCTTGAAAAGTGTATATGTTTGAAATGGATGAGATTTCCTACACTTCTCTTTTTTTCCTTCAGATTTTTGCCATAGGGCATATCTGCTTACTGGAGGGGGGGGAGAGAGAAAGAGAGAGAGAGAGAGAGAAAGAAGGAAAGTGAGAAATCACCCCCTAGAAGGATGGCAACACCACAATCCCTTCTCCTCTATTCTCCTTTTGGAATTTTGGGTACATACTCTCTCTCTCTCTCTCTCTCTCACACACACACACACACACACACACCCTGATTTTCAAGCAGGGTCCAGGGCTTGAACCGCAGTTGACCATGTAGCAGTCCAGGCCCTTAGTCACTATGCCACCTGCCAACCCCAAGATTCCCTACGCATTTGTATGTGTTGAGCTGTGAACCTAAAACCCAGTCTACAGGAAAAAAGAAATCAGCCCTTATTGCCTAGTAGTTAAGGAAGCTAAAGTCCACATGGTCAACTCCGGTTTAAATCCTGGCCCTGGCAGCCTTAAAAACACTGGAACATAAGCTTGTCCAGAATCCTGATTGGATGGAGAGGTGGAAGAGAAGGGATTGCTGCATGACCTCACCCCATTTGGGGGTGTTTTCTCCCTCTCTGTATCTTTCTCTGGCAAGTGCATGTGCCTTCTAGCAATTTAAAAATAAACAAACTCATAATTTAATTCCAATTTCTCACGAACTTTTTAAAAGTCTACTTATACAGAATATCTCCCCCCCTCACCCCCAAGATATTGTTCCCTCCCTTACCTGGCAACAGCATCAATCTTCTCTGGTTTCAAATTCTATACAACTTCTGGAGTTTTTGCCCTCTCCTTAAGCTTTGGGTTAAGTGATAGTACACAGAACCCATCTCTCTGGCACCCACCAATGTCTCTGCCATCATCACTCTCTCTGACCACTTTTCCCCTAATTGGGAAATCTGGTTTGAGTTTGCTAAAAGAATCTTCATATCAAATATTTGTCCTGTGCTATGAGACTTCTCTGTTTTCCTAGAAAGAGTCACCTCTGT